CTCATCAAGCCATGCTGTGGTGATGTCCCATATACAAAATAGAGGAAGACTGGCACAGATGTTAGCTCAGGGACATTCTTCCTCACCAAAAAAAAAAAAAAAAAAAGAATTGTTCCTTGGATCTCAGGTGATAATGGTACAGTCATTCATTTATTCGTTCAATAAATATTTTCTGAGCACCATGTATGTGCCAGGCACTGTTCAAACAGACAGCGAGCAAAACAGGCAAAATTCCTGCCCTCATGGAGTTTACATTCTGATTTAATTGGTTTGGCGTAAGGTCTAGACCTTGGTATTTTTTTAAAGCCTCTCCAGATGATTCTAACGTACAGCTAGGTTTGAGCATCACATTGGGAATTGCAAGGCATTGCAAAAATAAAACGTGGCTATTAGTATCCCTTCACTATTCCTCCATTTTCCTACCTGCATCAGGACTGCTGTGCAAATGCGGGCTGTTCTCTTTTCAGCTCTTTTCACCTTATGCCTGGACCCTTCCACCCTCTGTCTAACCCAACTCCCTACCTCCTTCCTGTGCTTCACCCTCCAGTCCGTCAGCTGTTGCCTGAGTAATCTTTAAAGCACAGCCATGCCTGTGTCACTCCTTGACTCAAAAGCCATCAATGGATTCTCGTTGCCTACAGATTATCTCCTAATCACTGTCCAGAATCTGGCCCCAACTTTACCTCCTGCTGCTTCCTTACCTGAGACTTGTTCACTCAAGTGCTGCCTCCCATGCAAGTTGCCTAAAAGGCTTGTAGTCCTTTCCTGGGTAAGCCAGGGAGTGGGGTCGTCATTTGCTCTATAACCAAACTTGAGGTATGGCAAGGCCCTTTAAATGCAGTTTGTCTGTGATAGAGCTCTTCTGTGGCTGAAGCATGAGCTGTCTCATAGCTTTCATTGCCACTTGGCCTGTTCACTTCTTTTTACAACAAATGCTAAGCACCCACCTTATGCCAGATTGGTGAGGATCTGGTGATGAGCAAGGCACAGTGCTTGCCTTCACGTTATGATGAGGGAGGCAGATTGACAGTTGCTCTTGAAATTACAAGAGTATGTTCCATGCCAGGACAGGAGTGATCTCAGAGGAGGAGCCCTTACCTTGTGTTTGGGGGATGTGGGGCAGGGAAGGCTTCCTGGAGGAGGTGACATCTGTACTGAGGTTCTGAAAGGCTAGTGGAAATCAGCCAGGTGGAGAAATAGGGATGTGGCTCCTAGGCAAGGGCAACTGTTCAGAGACACCGGACTGATAGAGAGTGGGCCACTTTGGGGAACTAGAAATACTTCAGAACAGCTGAAGCTTCTTGTGGGGTAGTTAGGAGGGCAGGGGGCAAGTGATGAAATATGGGGCCTCCATGGAAGGCAGGGACCAGACCATGTTTGCTGTGTTAAAGAGCTTGGACTTAATTCCACGGGCAATGGGGAGGGCTTTGAAGAATGGGAATATCACGTCCTGGTTTGTGTTTAGAAAGATCCCTCTGGCTGCTGGAAGGAGCATAAATTGACATGATGGGCCTGGAAGCAAAGAGCCTGGTTTGGCAGCTGTGCCCGTGGTTCAGTTGATAGATGATGGCAGTGGCAGAGCCGAGAAGCTCCTTAGGGTCAAGAGCTTAGTTCTTTCCATTTTTTTTTTTTTTTTTTTGTGAGGAAGATCAGCCCTGAGCTAACATCCATGCTAATCCTCCTCTTTTTGCTGAGGAAGACCGGCTCTGAGCTAACATCTATTGCCAATCCTCTTCCTTTTTCTCCCCAAAGCCCCAGTAGATAGTTGTATGTCATAGTTGCACATCTTTCTAGTTGCTGTATATGGGACGCGGCCTCAGCGTCACCGGAGAAGCGGTCCATCGGTGCGCGCCCGGGATCCGAACCTGGGCCGCCAGCAGCGGAGCGCGTGCACTTAACCGCTAAGCCACGGGGCCGGCCCTCTTTCCATTTCGTTACCTTCAGTGCCTTACACACCGCCTTGATCCTAAAAGGGCTAGGAGATGTTTGTTGCTATAACCATAGACTTAGAGTGTGCTGAAAGTGTAAAAGCCTGATAATGAGAGCAGTTAACATTTATTAAGCCCTTCCTGTGTGCCGAGAACTGCTGTGCATCATGGAATTTACTCTTCCCGGTATCCCACCTGAGACAGATTCTGTTGGAGCCTCATGTTCCAGAGGGAGAAGCTGAGCCTCATAGGTTAATTAATCTGTCCAGGGGCAGAGTTGGAATTCCAGCGCAGGTTTGTCTGACCCGGAGTTCCAAGTCTTAATGATATGCTGTATCGCCTCTTTCTCTTACAAATGTAATGGATCATTTTAGTTTTTTCTCATTTACATGTGTTTTGAGAAGGAAATAGGATAACTCTCTAAATATGTAATGCTAATGGACTTGCATTTTAACTCTAAATTTGTATTTTAAAGAAATCACTTTGTAAGCAAGGTGATAGTCTTTGGGAAAATTGACACGGAAGAGATTGGTCAAGTTTTTCCATTCGTTGCTTTCCCTGAATAGTGTTATGTTTAAGCTGAAAGCATTAGAATTAATGGGATGTTGTATCCATGCAACTGAAGTTAAGGTTACTGTCTGAAAAGGGAGTTGGGAGTAATCAAACTGTCATAGAGGAGACCAGCCCTTAAAGGAATGGTACAAGAGATTGCCTGAGAGTGTGCGACTAAAGTGGTGATCTGGGTGTGACCTCTGTGCGCGTGAAAGTTGTGTCAGTAACTGGCAAAGGCTGGGGGCTGCCTAGCTTCTCTGAAAGGAGCCGTCTTGGAGGCAGGGCCTGTCAGGCACTGCTAGCAGTGTGCCAGAAGGAGTTCCCAGACCAGCCACCCTACAAGAGGATGTCCTTTTGGCCACCACAGAGGTGAGTGTCCAGTCACACCTTATGAAGCTCAAGGTGTGGGTACTAGGCTCAGCACTGGAAACCTGTCAGTGAACTAAGCAGCCACGCTTCTGTCCTTGTGGAGCCTGTTGTCCCGGTGTTCTAGAGGAGGAGCTGGGGGTTAAACCAGAGACCACACGAGTAGTGTGGACACGTGGATTGTAACTGAGCTATGGGGAAGCACAAGGTGTTGTGAGAGCATGTGACCGGGGACCTGAAGTAGATTGTCTGGTAGGGAAGTGTCTCCAAAAGGGGGGCATTCAAGGTCAAGAAAACCTTAGCGTAGGTGTATGTGAGAGAGTCAGACAGACAGTTCCAGACAGACAGAACTGCAGTGTGCAGGCCCCAGGGCAGCACAGAGCTTGGTGTGGGAGATTTTGAAAGAAGGCCAGGGAGGCCAGAGCAGAGGCAGTGTCGGGGAGAAAGGCTCAAGGTGAGGCTGGAACAGGACATACAGGGCTTTGTGGGCTATTAGAAGAGTTTGGGATTTATCTTAAACTCGGTGGGAAGCCATTGAAGGGTATAAAGAGGGAAGTGGTTTTACCAGAGTTGCCTCGTTAAGATGCCGTGCTGGCTATTGTGAAGAGAATGGATAGCAGGGGAGCAAGAGTAGATTTGGGGAGACCCATAAGGAGGCTGGCTTGGTACACAGTGGTGGCAGTGGAGATGGAGCAAAGCAGATGCATTAGAGTTATATTTTGAAGGTTATTTCAACAGGAGTTAGTGATGGATTGGATATGGGGAATGTGGGTTAAGGATGAGTAATTGGGTGAATGGAGGTGGTCCTTACTGAAATGGGAAAAATGTTCTCCCCACGTATTGGCCTGGTTAACACCTTCTCTCCCGTTAGACCTTGAATCAGAGATCACTTATTAAGGGAAGCCCTCCTCAACCCCCTCAGTCCTTTCCCTGCTGACTTGGGCTCCCATAGCCTCATATAACTGCTCCTCATAGTACTGTACACACTGTACACATGTATGGAATTTCACATATATTTGTAAGTTCCCTTATACAACCCTCTCTTCTGTTGTACCTTTTTTCCCCCACTCGCTTTATCTCTAGTGACAGCCAGTGCTTGGCATATCACAGGGGCTCAATAAAAGTCTGTTGAATGAATAAATGAAGACAGAGGAGGAGGCTGAGGAGGGAAGATGAAGACTTTGTTTTGTACGTACTTGGTATAAGATACCCTTAAGACATCCGAGTGGGGATGTGTATTGAGCAGTTGGTGCGAGGCTGAGACACCTTTGGATATCAACAGCATATCGCTAATATTTTAAGCCGTGGGAGTGAATGAATTTGCAAGGGAGAATGTGTGGAATTAGAAGGGAAGAGGGCCCAAGACTAAGGAGGAACTTCAGCATGTGAGTGGAGGAGGTGAAACCAGCAAAGGAGACTGAAAAGCAGGGCAGAGAGGTGGGAGAAAAACCAGGCAAGTGTGGGGTCGGGGAAGCCCAGGGA